GCACCCGGCGCACCAAATGAGGAATGCCTGCCTGCTAAAACTACAAATTCTTGAGGTATCAGTGTTCTAAATATAATATAACATAAACATAATTCAACTATATTCTGCCTATCAAATCCTATACAAACGTAATATTAAATCTCTGTGTTCTATTTTCTAGATAAAATGGACTTTTTTTCCTTTTTTTTTCTTTCTTTTTTTAATCAGTTGTAAAGCATTGTAAAAATAATCCTACGTCTCTTGATCACCTGTAATAATATGTGTCCATGGTGTGGAAATTCATGGCAAATCTCCTAATAGTGATTAGTCATATGGTATTGTGTCCCTATTGAGGTATGTGCTTGTCTGGTAAAAGTGGTCTCTTTGGATTTCAGAGATTGTCAGAAGAAATGTTACTTCCTTCTGGAAGGTTTGCATTGTCAAACGTCGATAAACTCAGTATTCATTCAGACTTACTGCTGCTGATTTCACTAAATGGAATACAACTTATTAACCTCTGACTTACATACATGAGAACCTGATTTTTTAGTGCTAGATACACAGAACTTCAGTCCCACTCTTCATGACAGAAGACTAAAATATAAATCCTCAAAACCACTACTGATCTGCAAAGGACATCTTCGTGTTTTTAAAGGACACAGCTTTCAAAAGGACAGAGCTTTTCAAAACTACCCATGGTATCTTCTTGTTGCTGCTGCAACAACTCCTTAACTGCTAACCACACCTTATATAAGGACTTACCAGGAGGAAAATTGTGAAGGAACCTGGAAAAATCATTAGAATGCATATCATTGCAAGAGCTGTCCAGCAGTTCTGGGAGTATGTTGCATGAGGCAGAAAAGATAGCATGTCTTTTGAACATTTAGGCTGTGAGAAGATTATCCCTTTTTGAGCAGGTAGATAAACTTGATATATTACCTTTTAGGAAATTGTATTAGCATTTCTTATTTCTCTTGTACAGTCTTGTTAACTTGCTTTACGAGGGATCACAATATGTATGAGGTTTAGTTTACATTGCTGATAGTTTAGGGGTAATTATTTAATTGTGTTAATTAAAGTAATCTTAAAATCTCATCCCTTATTAAGCCTGTCACCTTACCCAGAAAACAAATTTTCTTCATAAATCAATTCTGCATACCTTGTGGCAATGCTTATTGTCTGAAAGACAGATGATCTTATAGTTAAAGAAATCACATTTTTGTAGAATAATTAATGATATAGCAGTTCATGATATAGCACTAAGTTACTCTTAGTGCTTTTATGGTACTCGGTGATTTTGAACCAAGGGGTTATTTTTGAACTGAATCTGTTTTTCTGGAGAAACAATATTAAAAAAAGAATAGAAATCTGGTGTGTGTTAGCATTAACTTGGTTTACCAGCATAAGCTGTTAGATGATCGATGTTCTGTGTAAGAATGACCTTGATTTTCATCTATCACACAGTTTACTTCCTGTTAAACCAAATTACAACTGCTTTGGTATATTTTCTGTGTTTACTTAGATATTCTTTAGATATTTTATTAAAACTTTATGAAGAATCAACATAGAATAAAGCAGTTGGAGCTTAGGAAGAATCTTAAATATGTGCTGGGCTCTCGTTTATTGTACTATATTCTATAAGAATAGCAGTTGATGTCTGCTAGAGTTAAAGTGTCAAAATCCAGTTTATATATGTAAATTAAGATAGAATATAATAATAATAAAATTTAATAGCCTTTGTCATTTAAAATATAGAGAAATTGTCATTAAAACATTTTAATTACCCAGTGTATAATTAAGCTAAAAGTAATGCAGTAACTAACCATGCAGATGAGTTTATATGGAGGCCAGTTAGAAAGCAGCGAAAAAAATAAATGAAATTTTGAGATAATCTCATCAAGCTTCATGAAAAGTGCCATTCTTTCAGGAATTAACCTAACTAGATTTCTTAATTGCTGAGAGGTTTTAGAAGTTATGTTTTCTAGGTGTATAAATCTTGTAGAGTACCATTGTTACTCTCTTCAGAAACATTCCCTCTGGTTATTTTTATCTATCTCAAATTCATGGGTTTTTTACTCATTTTTTTTCCTCTATTTATCTTTTTAATACTTTCCCTGTGTAACTTGGAACATTTTTGTCTTTCAAGGATCTATTAGGATTTTCCTGACTTGACCTGTCTCAAGTATTGAAAACAGTAGGTAGGCATTAACCCAAAGCTGAAAGTTAAAAGTCCTCTGAGTGGATTACAGACTGGTAACAGACACCTGTTAGTCAGAATAATTCGTGCTACAGAGGACATCCTTCCAAATTTGCTCTGTTGTTTTAGTTTGCATGTCCTTAATGATACTGAGTGATTAGAATCTCCTTTCAACTCTGACCTACTCAAGATACTGAGCGTAAACCATGGTTGGCATAGCCAACTACAATTTAGTCTAGTCCACAGCTGCAGTTAAATGATTTCTACTCTCTCACCAAAGCCAGTTAACATGTATGACTAAACTTTGGGGATAGTTATGGTTTAATTATTACCTTTAAGATAAAGAAGATTAAACCCTGCTTCATTGCTACCATTCAAACCTAATTATTACTATCTTCTTAAGTCTGTCTAAGACCAATGGTTGCTATTTTGGTATGGATGTTTATTTCTGATTCAGTTTTTCTCATAAGAAAGAGAAAATAACTACATTTTATTTTTAATACATAATACAAAAAAGGAGAAGTTGGTATATTTGTATTCAGAAATCTTTTTTGAATAATACTGCTGCCTATAAGTTTCTGTTATTTTTAAAATACTTCAAATAACTTTTTTATGTCATGTCTTTTCCTCAGAGAATGCAAAATAAAGGATGTCATTACAGAATGTAGATTGTCATGATTTCAAAGTATTCATTAAATGACTTGTTATAGATACAGAAATGTGTTTTACAATCCCATTGTAAAATTATGAATGCATATGTGAACACACACACACACATATATATATATACACATGAGTGCACAAGCATATATGTATGGGTCTGGTTTCTATTTGTTTCTAGAATTTCAGGTTTGAATTTGAAATTGAAATTTTCTGACTGATATAAATGCGTTCCCTTGCCTGAGAAGGTCATGGACTCCACACAATGTGTAGCCATTGCAAATTTTACCTCCTGTTTAGACATTAATTATTTTTTAATCTGACTATTAAGAATATAATAATTCTTTGCTAAACACTGCTTTTTAAGTTATTGAGCAGCAGCTTTTACATCTGAAAAGCTCAGAGAAAAGTTTGTATAACATTTCTGAAATGATGCATACATAAAGGCAGGAGTTTTAGTTTGAGTCATTGAGTTGGTTAGTTAGGCTAATAATCATTAACCTAGCTTGAGGTGGTGGAAATGTGAATGGCCAGGAAACAATTTATACAAAGATCAGAGAAACATTGCCTAAAAAGGATAAACATGACTGTACAGGTTTTACTAGACACAGAGTAAAACTAATTCATCTACAACTTTTCGTCTCTGATTAATATTCTGCTATAAAACTTCAGAAATACGGACTCACTAGTGGTATTTTTTTTATAACTGCTTAATTTACATTGTATCTTTTATAGCTCAGTAACAAGACATAAAATATTGAATGTGACTTCATCACTCTGAAATACCCAAAAATAGACTTGAAATTAGAGATCCCTCAAGAATTTGTTGTTTATTTTACCACACCTGTAAAGATGAGAGGATAGATGGAGAAATTTGAGGTAATGTAACATAAGTAATATGGGTTGCTTGATGTGAGAAACTGAAAAAATTTACATGGCAAATAAGTTGTTTGGGGATTTTTTCTGTATGAGCTGAGGTGAGGAACTGTAAACCAAAAAAGGTTCTAGTTAAGAATATTCCAGAAGTATCTTCAGCTATTTAGAATTCCATCTTGAGTAGAATAAGTAATACCAAACTTAAATACAAGCAGAAGATAAAAAGAGGAGCCTTTCAGGGATGAGAACTAAAACTGGAAATCTGAGAGTATGTTTTCTAATGTCACATTAACTATACAGAAATTGACTCTCAAATTCATAGTTTTCAACATCCCTGGTTGTCCACAGCCTCAGATCTTCCCACTGCAGGGTTTTTAAGTTTTATGGCAATGTATAAAAAACCATTACTTCACCAAACAATTCTGAAGCTTTGAAACCTTGAAGTTTTCATCACTTTTAGCTTTTGTGGGTTTTTTGATGGAATTTCATATCAGTTTGGGTTACATACAGCCATATTGTAATTTTTTTTCTTTTAGATCTGTTCATCATTAAGTTTTGATATTTAATTTAAAAGATTGTACATCTGAATTACGTTTGTTATAAAATTTGGTAGATACTGGGCAGAGCTCAAATCTTATTCATAATAGTCAAAGGTGAACAGGTATACTCCTACAAATACATGTGTGCTACCATCTGCATAAAAAAAGATATGTATATGTATATGTTTATATATAGTATATACAAATTTGTATATTATATGTATAATTTATATACTTCATATAATTTATATGCATATATATGTATATAAATATGTCTATAAATAAAGTGTAATTCCATGCAAATTTCCAGTTTTAGCTGTTCTAGCACTGGAATCTACCACAAAGAACAGTAAAAGCCACAACTCTGTATTTCCAGTTTCCCTCCACATTCCAGCTATGTCCCTGCTGTTGGCAATAGCAACAACAACAAAAGAAAGCTTCAGTCAGATAAACTTACTGCACAGAAACTAAGGCAGAAATGGGAACAAATAACTAGGGCAGAAGGCAACATAGACCAAGACCACTTCTTTCAGTAGCAACCTACTCAGAGGGGTGTAAACAAACTCTGGAACCATAGTCCCTGGGAAGAGAACAATACCAACAATTACTTACTAGGAGACACATCATTAAAATAATATTACTGTTCCTTATTTTCTTCAAAGAAAAATCTTTGATGAATGTTATTTTCCACCAATATGGGAAAATATTAAATATAACTGCAGTTAACAGAAAGTTTAATTTCCAAGAAATAGTTGGAAAAATAGCCAGCAGTTTGTAATTTACTTTCATGGATACTTTGAACAGATTGTGTAGTCAGCAGAAAAAGGCATCATAAAGTTCTATTAAAAATTATGTGCTTTTTATGCTTTACATTACTGTGCAGAAGATGTCTTATTTCTTTTTCATTTGTACATTTATTTTCATTTCACCTCTGAATTAAGCTGTTTGCGCTGACTTAACTGGCTGTGGTTCTGTAACTCTGGTAGGCTTCACTGTCTTTTGCTGTTCCAGGAATCAACAGGTGTTTTATTCAGCTGTCCTCAAATGAAAAAAAAAAATGTGCATCAAATTACAGCTAAGCAGGTTAGTCGATTTAGGCAGAAAAGGCATTTCTTTCAGTGGCAGCATCAAATAAAGCAGCGCGTCCTTTACTCCCTTCTTTTTATTTGGTCTAATGCTGGGACAGATAGCAGTAGTCATAGCACAAAAAGACGATAAATGCATTAATTTATTGTTAAATGTATGGTAAACAATAAATCCATGTTAAGTGTAGTAAACCCATTATACCTAAAATATTATATTCTGCTTTGTTTAGATATGCATTTTATTTTTAAACAGTCACAGTCAAGTATTTGATGAAAAATGTGCAACAAATATACTTCTCTGCTACTTATCTGAATTCATAACTGCAAAATCTAAAGTATAGTTTAGAATAGTCAATGAAAGGATAATGAATATGGAAGCACAGATAAGGCTTCAAGGTTTTTGGAAACGTATCTGTCAGGGACTAAAAAATCCCCATGTCTTTCCGTCAACTATCTCTCCATACTAGAACCTATTGCAATTAAAAGAGAAGCATCCAATGAGACAGCAGTAAACAATCACTGCAATCTTATATTTAAAATGTATCACAGCAGAAGCTGTGCTGAGTAATAAATTAAGTAATTTTCCTATGTGAGTAGTGTTATAAAATAGCCCAGTGTGTATTTTGTCTTTGTAATGAACATCAGTCATATGGGTGTATTCTGTTGAATATATTATGTATGTAGATTGGTGAAGTGTAAGGGAGTTTACCCTTTGAAGTTAAGTTGAAACATGTCTACTTTATTGACAGTATACACTTTTATTCTTAGTATAAAAGTATTAATTGGAGTGATATTCAGTTGTAATTTGTATTATTTTTCAGCTCCTTCTTTTCCAGCATGAAGGTTTTACATGCCGCTGTTTATAATTACACAAAATTCAGACAAAAATTCATGTTTTCATCTACAAAAAATGCTTAAAAGAAGCATGGTAATCAAATGCACTGCAGGTGAGAAGCAAATACAATCAGGTATGAGTAGGCCACAATACACTTCTACTGCCAAGACAACGGGAAGTAAATGGAAAAGTATGTGATAGTACTACTAACAGACTCTGTGATTTATGTAGAATACACCATTCTGCCATCTTTGCAAAGAACTACACTAAAACTGACAGTAGGTAGCAAGATAAAACTTCCCCTAACTAATACATTCCCTGAAATAAAATCCTATTTTGATTTAAAGGTTTTTGGAACCAGAATATGATATCCTGGGGATAGAGTGGAAGGAAATTTCTCCACCTGAGTATAATAATAACCCCAAGAAAATTTTCTTTAACAATATGTTGATTTTTAGAACGCTTTTTTTCCTTTTTTTTTTTTCTATCACCGTATGTAGAGAAACCATGTAGTGTATATGTTACAGCTAGGAATAGGAAGCAATCCACCTGCTTAAAAATATGCATTCCTTTAAAAATCATGCTGGGAAGTTTTCCTTACTGGCAGTGTCTGCAATGAGCATTCACAGTTTGCTTGATTCTTTGCAAATTTCTTTCTTTTCATGTGTACAAGAGGAACAGAATCCTTTTGGCTCCCTCATGGGTATAAATCAGAGACAGAGGTTTTGGAGAAAGGGAAATAAAGGGACATCTGTCTTGCCAGTGCAGCATACAACAGAAGAAAACTTTTGTCTACATCCACTTTTTACTCCTTAGAGGATCATATGCAGGGCACCCTCCTGCTATGAGACAAGTCAAAATGACAGCTGACCTATTCAGATTAGGGTGTCTGGGGATAAGACATATCCATTCCATTGCCTGTCTTCAGGGAACAGTCACTCTTGCTTTTCCCCAAGAGTAACGTATTTTCATTAAATAATGGAAGAGGTAATAGAAGTAGAAGCATTATTTTTTTTTCACAAGAATATTCTCATTAATTTCTATTACGTTCATAAACTAGGACATTGATGTGGTTTGGTGGGTTAAACAAATAAACTTTTGCTTGAAGGATTAACTTGATTTTACAAAAATATCAATACATAATTCTATTATCATTGGAGAGAAAAATAATATGGTGGTGTTCTTTATGAATACTCATCCACAGAAGCAGCAAACACATAGATAAATCATTGAAAATTGGAGCAAGATAAATTTATTATTGTAAATATTTAAGCTCTCCTTACTATGCATTTTTAATGAACTGCATATTTTTAATGTATCTATTCTAAGATGGCTGAGCTCCACATTTCTATTTCAGGCTATTTTTTCTTTATGGCACCCCATTTTGGGGATGTAATGTAATGCAAGTTTAAGTATTAAGTTTTGACATAATTCATATATGTATTTTCAGAATGGTGGGTTTGAGGGAAAACATATCTGCTCACTTACTGAAGTGGGGTGTACTTATAAAATCCAAAACCATAAACTTGATGACTTTTAGGTATATTCTTTGAAGCTGAAGAGAGGATAGAGCTGAATATTAGGCTAGATACATACTGTGAAAACCAATGATTCTCTTAAGCCACCTATAAATAGATGTATTAAAATAAAAATAAACCAGGCTGCAAGTAAAATATGAGCTGACAGTATATTTCCACAAAATAGTGAAGGATAGGGCAAAAGGGGAGTCATTAAGAAATTCTTTGAATTCATGCTTAGTGCATATGACCTACTTATAAAGAAAACCAAAAGGATTTCTAATATGTATAACGACCAGAGTCTGAAGAAAACTCAATAAATATTTCAATTATTAACTGCAGCAACTCCAGTACTCTACTACTAATCATAATAGATGTACTGAGGAAAGGTAACTGAAGATAATTTCCAAAAGCACACTGCCTACCAAATTCAGAATACCTTTCACCATTTATCGAAAGCAAAAGCATTTTCAAGACCAAGCAGTCACATGGGTGTAACCATTTGATCAAACAGATTGATTGTCACCAGAATTCCGTTAACACTGTCCTTGAACAGTCACTGCAGTGAAGCTTCCATAACTCCTTTCTAATAGGAAATAAATCATACCTCCCAGTGAATCACTCGACCTCTCTGTAAGTGTTCCTAATTGTGTTACCTTCTTGCCTTTTGTTTTTCCTTCTTAGCAGGGGGAAAGCAAGAAGTAGTTGATTGATGGTACAGAGATTCTTCAGATTGGTCTTCACTGGGAAGAAGGTTGATGTTGATAGTGTGTTCTGTCTAGTAAAATCATGTTTCTTTATTAAATTCATATGTAGCCAAAATTTCAGTAATTCAGGAGAAAGCTAAGACTTTTTTTACTGTTGATGGGCATTAATGTGAGGTCTAGAAGTAAGTAGGTGTAATTTCAAAATTACATAAAACTGCTGAATAACCATGCATGTGCTACCTATTCCTTTGCAGATAGCTGCAAAAAAAATGTTATTCTTCAGTGAAATTTTTTTTTTCTAATTTCTTTTCTTCTCAATTTCTGGGCTTAGGGGAGTTAAACAGCATAAAGAATTGGCTCTTCTTAAGATCATGAGAATGATAATTTACAGAGCTTAATAAATATTTAGGTTTCTGTTTAAATTTGTCATAAAAACACTAAAGTAAATAAGCAGAATAAATGATGTAGGTTAAATTAGATGCTAAAAATTCTTTCACAATCAGTCATTAAAATGACACTGATACATCTCTATATATAGATATGCAGACATTATTAATGCCATGCATGTTCTTGTTACTTGATTTTGATAAATTGATGTGATTCTATTCCAAAGCTCCTGCTATTTACTCAACTCAAACCACGTACTACCATCTTGAGTAAGTGTTACTGTGTCATTTGGTGTTACAGTTTTAATTAGCAAAATCTATCTAACTTACTAAATCACCCCACGTAATTTCTGATAAATATTGTTCATGATGATATTTGAGAAAAATCTGTGCTTGTGTTAGACCTTGAACAACCACTGAGATATGGTAAATCAAAGTCAGGTTGCTCCCAGCTGGAGCAGAAGCAAGAATCTACACTGGAAGTGACCAAGGCATTAATGACCTAATTGTCTCATGTCCACAATGGATAGTTGGCTCTGTTTGACTATAACAGTACTATGAAATTGTGAAAGAATTTTTCCGGTTCAGTATCTGTGAAACTTCTGCCTCAGATAAAGATTTCATTTTCAGTGACATGATCATTTCTAGATGACAGAAAATAATTTATCTAAATTCTTGACCAGCTAAACTTATTCGCACATGAACTCTGACCCTAACTCTGTCATTTATTTTATAGGTAAGTGATAGGTTGCTGCATTTTTCCTGTTCCTATTTCCCTTCCTTGTCTTTTATTTTTCCATTATAAGAGTCAGTATCCCTGAGCATTTACTTAGTGACTATTGATCTGAGGCCTTTGCTGGGATCCTTAAGAGCTGCAGTAATATGAACACTGTCAGAAATACAGCTTTACCTCACTAGCATAACAGCTGTCACCTTTGTTCAAAGACTTTTCAGGCAGGAAAATTTTATAAAAAGTAAAAAGAAATAAAAGAAGTCTTCTTCATTTCATATCATCTTTCACATAATCTTCTTAGTGGTACCTCCTATTACAACCTGTTCCTTTCTTGAGTCATCACCCTGTTTCAGACAGAGGCTCCAGCTGCCATGAGTCTTGGTTTATCTTTTGCTGTACAAAGCAGTGTACTGTGTACTCTTTTAACGGAGCATGACTATACCGCAAGGAAAAATTTTACCTGTAACTCTGAGGCAGATACAGCCTTCCAGATTAAAAAAAAGGATATTACATTACCCCTTGGTCAGGTATGGAGGAGTGTGATCACATAAAAGAGTCTCCTGCAATTCATGTTAAGCAGCAGTTTTCGTGCTAGCAGCTTAGATGGAGACTTTGTTATCACTTGTTGCCTGTCCCAAAACATACAAAGCCAGTTGTTTACAACAGGTGAGATGGAATGACTCTCACCACATGTGTACCCACTCCTTGCAAGAACAATAATAAACCATACTTTATCTAAAAACACATTCACCGTAATTTAACAATCTACAATATATGTGCAGCAAGAATGGCTTCTACAGAAATGAAGGTAAGAGAGGAGCAACTAGTGACAGAAGGACAATGCCTCTAAGGTCAAGGGCAAAATTCTACAACATCCAAATAAGAAGAGCAAAAGCAGGACTGGTGGCAATCTGGTGCTAATCAATTCGGTAAAGAGAGAGTAGATCCGTTGTCAAGCCTCAAAGCAATTCAGCAGGTCCAGATCAACAGAACACATGGTCAGGCACACCTGCAACAAAGCTCAGGCAAGGCCCAAAAATAATAGTCTGAGCTTGAGAGCAGCTCCCAAGTGTTAAGTGAGCACATCCTACCTCTTTCACACGTAACAATTTCCCAGCAGCAAGAGTCCAGTTTAGACCAGCCCAATCTATCGGATATATCTTGATGCATAAGCAACTGAACTCCTAGAAAGAGTCCTGACATATGGCTGTCCGAATCCCAGAGTCCTTTTGCTGGTGTTTTAAACAGAACTGTCCTGTCAGAGTCAAATACAACTGAGGCAAAACAGAATTTAACTTAGATAGGTAGCTAGCTAAACATTATTTTAAATTATGTATTTTATAGCAAGGGCGTCACACCTCATACCTGTCTTTTCCAATAAATTCAGTAATGTCATTTTCCCGATTAAAGCTTTTGGACATCCTCTGTAAATGGAAGGAAGATAGAAGAGAAAGGGGATGATGAAGAAACTGAAAACACAACCTAAAATTTTTGTGTAATGAATGTGTAATTGATACTGACACTAGTGAAATAAAAGCCATTTTATAATCTCAAAATAAGGCTTAACCACTATTTCTTCTTTCTGTTCTCCTTAATCATAGATCAAAATATTTAATCTAAAATGCACCCAGGGTGCTTCTTTCTAATCGTTAAATCATTTCAGTAAAATCTGTTGGTAGAAACAGAGGTTTAGAATCTTGAGCTCCTTGGAAATGTGCTTGTTATTTTTATCTATAGCTGACGTGCTAGGGAAGAAGAGCAATTTTGTTTACTCCCAGGTGGTTTAAATTTGATTTGAACTCATAGCTGAGTTTAAGCTGATGAACAGCTTTTTATTGAACATGAATAAATTGAGAAATTCAGACTAGTCAGCCACTTTTGGTCATAATTTAAATTCCAGAGAAGATGTGTTTAGAAAAAATAGAGCAGAAAGATGTGTACCTGATTACTAGCTGACTTAATAAAATCATTAATGAATTTAATGCTGTTCTAGGTCTTTTCAGTATCAGTGTTCTTAAAAAAAAGAATTTGTATAAAACAAACGGGGAGTAACTGCCACCAGAGATAAAAATGACATATGAACAACAAATATGCAGGCAAATGTAAAGAGGTAAATTTCTGCATGTAAATGTACACAACAGCTCTTCCTCACAGACTGAATATCCTGTAACAAACATTTTGGTCATGTATAAAAAACCAAAAATCTCAGCTGAATAATACGGTCTTTTGATAACTAATATGGTCTTTTGAGCACCTTGTCAGCATTCAGTTCAACTTCAAAGTCTGAAACCTTTTCTCACAAAAGAGAAGGTAATCCTGGCAATCCCTTTGGGAGTCAAGTAGCATTATCTAAGCATAAGAAAATCAGAATATGACTGTCTGTTCACTGGTAAGACAAAGGCAAAATTAAAATTAAGCACATAGTTTCAGTTATGTGGGGTTTTTTCCTGACAAAATGCTGCACTTTCTTCTATTTCTGAAGAAAAATTTTGTGTGGATTTTTTATATATGTATATAGGTAGAAACATACGTTCATACATATGTATATATGTGTGTGTGTGTATATATATATATATATATATTTGTGCTTACTTGGAAAATGTTTTGAGACCAAAAGATAACAAAGGCTACATAATTATTATTTTACTGCTCAGGTAGTTACATAGCAGTGATATTTCCTTCTCCTCAGAATGACAAATTGTGTGATTCTGATGTCTAGGCAAAGAAGGAAAGGACTAATGAACTGTCATGGTTTAACCTGCCAGGCAGCTAAACATCACACAGTTGCTCGCTCACTACACCCTGGCTCCCGGTGGGATGGGGGAGAGAACTGCAAGAAAGTTCTGTAAAATTCATTGGCTGAGATAAAGACAGTTTAATAGGACAGAAAATGAAGGGAAGATAATAATAATAGCAATAATAGTTGTAGCAGCAGTAATAATAATAATAATAAGAATAATCACTGAATCATAGGCTATGCTGAGTTGGAAGGGATGCACAAGGACAATCCAGTCCAACCCTTAGCCCTGCACAGGACCATCCCCAAGAGTCACACCATGTGCCCAAGAGCATTGTGCAAATGCTTCTTGAGCACTGTCAGGCTTGCTGCTGTAACCACTTACCTGGGGAACCTGGTTGAGTGCCCAACCACCCTCTGGGTGAAGAACTTTTTTCTAATATCTAACCTAAACCTCCCCTGACAACACCTCAGGCCATTCCCTCAGGTCCTGTCACTGATCACACAGCAGAAACAAAGGATGCGTAATGAAGTTGCTCACCATCCGTGCTGACTGATGCTCAGCCAATTCCTGAGCAGGAGCCCCAGCCAGCTTTTCCCCTAGTTTGTATGCTGAGCATGACTCCATATGGTACAGAATATCCCTGTGGTCAGTGGTGTCATCTGTCTCGGTCATGTCTCCTCCCAGCTTCTAGTGCTCCCCTAGCCTCCTCAGTGGGGGTGGTGGTGTGAGTACGTGGAAAGTCCTTGTCTTAGGGTAAACGCTATTTAGCTACAACTAAAACATCAGTGTGTTAATGTAAGACCCCAGGCTCACCCTACAAGCTCATTGAAGAAGTTGTATGTTAAAAATATGCAAGGCTCCAAAAATCCACCTGCTATATTTATTAAAAGGCCCTTCAGTTCATTTATACCTTGAGAGACCGCATGGGACAAGATGCTGCACACATTTCTCAGGAGGTCAAATAACATATTTTTACTGGCAAATTTTAGAAAATAATGGAATGCAGCAAAAGTTTAAATGGCACCATCCAACCAAAGCATTTCACAAAGCATATGCTAACCCATTGTTGCGCTCCAGATTAAGCTATAAACTGCCCAGAGCAGTTACATTTTTATTTAAGACTTTTTAAAAGCCTTTTGATTCATTATAATCTCTAATTAGTGTTTAAAGAAAGAGTCACACTCTAAGAGAAATTCTTTTCAATTTAGTGAGAAAAATAAGATATTTTGGCAAAAGGTTTTTACAGGAGTAAAATACAACCAAGAAAAAAACATTTCACTAAAACATTCAGCACAAAGACCTATTCCACAGGAAACACCCACTAAAACAATCCATACACCACAGTTCATGTGTTTTACATTACCCACAAGAGAAGGAAAAGAGTAAAAGAAAAAAAACAGATTAAAAGAGGTAAAGAAATAGAGAAGGAGAGAGAGAAAGGAGAGTGAGAAAATAGTTACTGACACAATTCTGTGATTCATATGGTGCCAGCTAGAGAGGGAGAAGAGAGAAGGAGAAGCAGAGGAAGACCGCATGGAGCCTCGTGTATTCATAGAGTTCAGTTTTCCCTCCCAGGCAGGATATCTGGTCAGTGCCTTCCAGGCCTGATTGAGTTGTGCTGTAGCAATCACAGGCTGCAGGGGTGCGGTATGGGCGGGCTGCCAGGCAAGTCTGCCTTGACTGACAGCCCAGCTGCAGGCCCTTCAGCTCTGCCATGGCCCTTCAGGGGCAGCAGGCCTTGCCTTCAGCTCTGCCCTGTGCCTTCAGCACGGGCCTGATGCACAGGCTTTATCAGCGGCCTGCAGGTCCAGGCCCAGCCCTTCCCCACACGTGCACACACACTCACAGTGAGTTGGTTCTGACCCATATCAATAATTCAGTGAGATTCAGATGCAGGATCTCACACTGATACAATTTAGCAAAACCCAACCCATTCAGCTTTAAGTTACCCAAATATCAAGAAAGGAGATGAGGAGAAGAAATAAAAAAAGAGAATTAACCTCCTGCCTTGAGTCCTGTGCAATTCCAGCTTCCGTGTGTCCACATGGTGGGGGGGTCATGACAACATGAAGGCCGCATGGTGCTCGTTTTACCTGTTCGGTCCCCCTGCAGCCACCCCCCAGCCTCTAGGTGGGACATCCAGTGTGCCAACCTGGATGAGGCTGGGCTGGGGACTCCAGGGCGTGGTGTTGACAGTGCTCCCGGTGTGTCAGTGACTGACAGCTGCTCCTGGGCTGCCCAGGGGCGCCCAAAGGGGCTGGGGTGTGAAGCAGGGCACTACTCCCCCTTCATGAAATTTGACCTGTCCCTTTCCCTTCCCCCCCACACATATATTTGAGTTGGTCTGAGCCAATAATTAATATAATAATCCAGTATCTCACAGTTATCAACATTATTCTTATCCTAAATCCAAAACACAGCACTGTACTAGCTACTAGGAATTAAATCAAACCAAATGAATCTAGATAAAAACCAGGACACCAAGGGAGGAAATATTGGAAATATCCTTGGAATATCCTTGGAATTGGAATATCCTTGGAACTGGAATATCCTTGTATTTAGTGGAAAGTGGATAGATCCCCTTAAAGCTGCCAGTTTGGCCTTTGGAGAATTGGTGATAAACCATTACAGTGAGTCCTGGAAACAGAAGACGCTTATACTATATTAATTCATCTAAAGATGCAGAGCTGGGACAGGTGTGTGTAGTGGGGTGTGTGTGTTTGTTTGTCTGTTTATTATATGAAAGTTATTCTGTAACACTGAAAAAAATTACATCTGGAAAAAACTTAGCTTAATAATTCACAAATTTCAGAAAACAACAGCTTATCAGTGGAGCGTGTTTTCCTAAGCAGAGTTCCCTAAATAATTGTTGTATTAAGTTCTTATAAACATCAAGTACCTTGGTACTTAATAATTGCTTATTTTGTATATCAATGCTGTCTATCCTGCATATGTTATATGCTTTTATAATTTCTTTATTTTACATAAAAAGATAGTTCCCAGAAGTTGGACAAACCTTAGAACAAGATGAAAAACTTCACAAAACAGGATCTTTGTAAACCCAAGAGATAACTGCAGCCCTCTAATAAATAATACCATCTGTTTTTTGCTTAGTTAATGTATTTATAAATTCTAATGGTTTCTTGTTGTTTTTTAGTTAGTAGTAAATTATTACAAAATGTAATCAAAAAAACAGGTTTATACATTCATTTAGGAGCGTAATCTTTCAACATCTAACTGCACAGCTAGTCAGTATGATAGGGAAATTTTTATTTACAAGGATTACAGGCAAATCAATTTATTTGCATCCCTAGTCCACAAGTCTACTTCTAAAATTATTTACATGGATTAATAGAGTGAGAAATTGATACCTTAAAGCTGGTTCTAAAGTTGAAGGTGTGTCACTTAGCTAAAAGTACGCTTGCTTTACCTTCTTTGTTCCTCTATAAACAGAGTGGGACACTTGTTTGTAAGGTAGCGGTCCCAAAATGGACAGAATGCATGTGGGGCATTATTTGTTGGGTGGTAGTATGATAATGTGCTTTGGAAAATACTCTTGTCAATGAAAATACAGAACTGACAAGAGGTAGAATTATTCTAGAGGGTTTCACAGTTTTTTTGAAGTAAGTTGGGATTAGTTTGGTGTTATCAACACATGTAATCGAGTTGATGCAATGACATTGTTTACAAGCTGTCTGACTAAAGATTCAGTTCAGAAAAATGTGGTTAGAATTCAAATAAATATATAACCAAGAATTTCTACATATTTCTATTTTGTGCTCTTAGACACAGAAGAAACTGAAATTTCAATTTAGCCATGGTAAATTTTGAGTAGCATTCAATGGAAAAAAGAGTGGTAATTACATGATAAGAGAGATATATTTTGCGCTGAGAAGTATAATAGAGTCATATTTGAACTTCTGACTCTTTTCTAGCACAGGTAAATTGTGTGCAAAATCCATTATATACCTGCATATGCACGTTATTCTAAAAATAGTTGAAAGAGAAAACAAGAAGAGCAGAGCATGTATTTATGCCCAATGCATTGTAATAAGACATAGCAGCCATGGTGTCAAAGGTGTCTAAAAACTACTGTGAAAAGCTATCATTGATGAGGGTTTGTTGCACTAAAATAGAAAGAGATTACCATCCTTTATAAGGAAGGTATAATTACTTTTGTAATAAACACACATCAAGCATACATGATGTACAAACTTGATTTCCTACTGACAAGCAATAGGAAAGAGTATTGCAGTATTAGGAAGATGTTTTGTGTGAGATTTTTCTAATGTTTGTGTTGATAGGCTATGTGAGATCACTAAGTGTATACTTGTGTGATATAATGAATTAAAGGTACAGATATGATTTAAATACAAATTAAAAAATTTAGTTAATTACAAATAAATTTCATTAATGAAATATATACCTGCATGGTATGATGTATTAAATTTTTCAGTTACATGTAAGTTTTAAAATTGTCTGATTCTTGCACTGTGAAAGAAAGGTTTGTCTTTACTAATTAATTTACTAATTAATTTTCTTTATTATTCAGCACGTGGAGGTAGCCTCACACACATTTTACTTAGTATCTCTCTGGTTTTATACCATTAGATATTTTTCTCTTTGGTTTGTAGGTATGAACCTTATTCATAGGTCATTACAACTTAAGAGAGCATTTCAGTATGTTAAAGTGATATAGATCTCTGGTGTGGAAAGAGAATTATAAGTATAATTCAGAAATAAAAGAGAATATCATTCTGGTCACAATTCTTAAAAAATATGCTTGTAAAGGAGAGTGCTTTGTGATTCTGGAGCTGAGGAAAAGCACAGTACTTCCATAGACTCCACATAATTGGAGATTAAAAAAGACACTTTTGGTTAACAGACATGATTGTCAAGAAATTATTTTGAATGTAATAACTAAAAATTACATGAAAGATAGCAACACATCCACAATGCAATATGTCCTGCTTGCACAGAAGAGTTGGTGTTAGTGACATAACTGCATTATTCTACTTAATTAATTCACAGTTTCAGTTCTGTCTGGATTTTGACAACAGATGTTTGTCACTGCTGGGTAAGCTGATTGTGATGATCCAGTTGTATCTTTGGTGTTACTGTTGTTAATAGTCACACTTTTTAAAAATGTGTTTTCAGAATACACCCACTTATGATGTGTTGACCTTGGCTGAATGGCAAGTATCCATGAAGTTGCTCTATCACTCCACTCCTCAACTGGACAGGGGAGATACAATACAATCAAAGGCTTGTTGGTCAAGATAAGGACAGGGAGAGATCACTTACCAATTACTGTCATAGGAACAACAAACTCTACTTTGTGGAATTAATTTAATTAATTGCCAATCAAATCAGGGTAGGATAATGAGAAATAAAAGCAAATCTTAAAATCTCTTTCCCAGGCTTGATCTAGCTCCAAATTTCTCTCCTTCTTTCCCCTGAGTGACAAAGTGGGATGAGCAATGAAGGTTGGCATCAGGTCATTGATTCTATTGCTCCTTCCTCATCAGGAGTAAGACACTTCATGCTCTTGCCTTTCTCCTGTGTGGAGTCCCTCCTTTAGAAGGCAGTCCTCCATGATCTTTCCCGTTGTGGGTCTTTCCCACAGACTGCAATTCTTCATGAACTGGTCCAGTTCCACAGGAGGTAGTCCTTCAGGAACAGGCTGTTACAGTGTGTGTCCCCCATGGGATGACAAATCCTGATGGCAAGCCTGCTTCACTGTGGACTTCCCTCTCAGTGGGGTCACAGGTCCTGCTTAGAGCTGGCTCCAGCATGACTATCCACAGGATCACAGCCTCCTTTGGCCACATCCACCTTCCACCTGCTCCAGCATGGAGTTCTCCAGGAGCTGCAGGTGGATATCTACTACACGTTGGACCTACATGGACTGCAGTGAGACAGCCTGCCTCACTATGGCCTTCACCTTGCAGCCGCAAGGGAATCTCTGGTCTTGTACCTGGAGCACCTCCTCCCTCTCCTTCACTAACCTGGGTGTCTGCAGGGCTCTTTCTCTCGCATGTTCTCACACTTCTCTTCCAGCTACTGCTGTGCAGCACCTTCTCCCTTTCTCAAATCTGTTATCTCAGAGGTGTTACCAGCTGTTGCTGACGGGCACAGCCTCGGTCAGCATTTGGTCTTTCTTGGCACCATCTGACATTGGCTCTATCAGACGCAAAGTAAGCTTCTGGCAGCTTCTCACAGAAGCCACCCCTATAGCTTCACCACTACCAAAACCTTGGCAATCAAGCCCAATATACGCACTTTTAATACTTTTTAATATAAACTAATTATATTATTCTAGAATTAAAACACGATCCTAATTAGATTCTCAGAAATAATTGCTAAAGTAGGTCTTTTGAACAATGTATTTAAGGATCTTAAGATTTCCTTGAATAAAATAAACAACATTTTTTCTACTTCTGTGGCTGCTTGCGCTCAAGGTAAATTTTTCTTTAGCCCATCAGAAATTTGCAGTAAATAGCTGATGTCTCCAATGACAAAAGCATCTCCTTTTCTGACCATCTCTCTTTAGATCTAGGTTTCTAAAGCTTTATCAAAGAGCTTTAACAAGTTCTGCATCAGCAAGTAAATTTGCAAGGCACTCTGCAAGACGCTCAGCTATTTGGGGTAATTGAAGTGTTAAATAATGAGGCTCAAAAAGGATTAGGGAAAATGATAACTTTTCAGTCTATACAACATTTCAAAAAATTATCAGATATTGACAGAATTGAATAATGGTTCTAATGTCAGTTTCTTCAGGAAGATTAAGATACTTTAGGTTTATTCACAGTCTTCCAAGAATTCTGGTAACTTCCTTGAGATGGAAGAAGCCTGACTTTCCCTGTGCTTTCAGTTTTTATTCTGTACCTCACCCCAGACTTAAGGAGATAAGTTGCTAAAAAAAAACATGTCCCAGCACACAATTTTTCCTCCAGAATTTCGAATTTGTTTCCTGTATTGTCTAGATCTTTTTGGCAGGTGATATTCTTTTCTGCTTCCTAGGGAATCCAAGTCTACCATGTTGATTGCCAGGTTAAACTGGTCATTAGATAAGATCTGGCTAGGTAGGATCAGATTAGTTCCTTTGTTTGCATGCAATGAGTGGGAACAGAACTGCTAAAAAAGTCTTTGTTCTTTGACATAAACCATGAGCAATGTTAATAAAGGATGTGACTGATGTTAATAAAGGATAATTTCCTCGATAGCAAGTATAAGAAAGACTAAGATCATGTAATTTATTGGGATCTA